GTTCAACTCCCAAATAACCTCTATTCCAGTGTTGGTCCTTTCCTCTTTTCCTTCTAGAAGTGAGTTATTAACACTTTATAACATTTACAGTAAATAAGATGTTTAGTGGTGCACTTTTTTCTTTCAATCATTGCAACATCTCATAATCTGAACATCTCAACATCTGAACACAAGGCAGTCACCTTGAGACAGGACTATTGTAACATGCTCTATTTAAGGCTACCTTTGAAGATGCTTCGAAAGCTACAAGTGGTCCAGAACGTAGCTGCCAGATTGCTGACAGGAGTGTCCTGGTCAGCGCATATAACACCTATCCTATGGCAGCTGCACTGGCTCCCGATTAGTCACTGGTGCCAATTCAAAGTGTTGGTACTTACTTTTAAAGCCCTAAATGGCCTGGGACCCTCATACCTTTGGGACCACCTCTCCCAGCATGATCCTCCCTGTCTTCTCTGATCTTCATCTCACAATTTATTGAAGGTCCCTGGTCCACGAACTACCCACCTTGTGTCAACAAAGGTGATGGCCTTCTCAGTAGTGGCTCCCATCCTGTGGAACCAGCTGCCTGAAGAGAAGTGTGCTTTACGAGACCTCCCCAGGTTCTGCAGGGCATGCACGGCTGCTCTTTTTCAGGCGACGTTCGGGTGATTGTGATCCAGGCAGCTGGTATATTTCAGCTGTGTCTGCAACATCCATGAACCCTACCCTGCTTGATAGTGGATAGATTTAATGCGGATAGATTTTTAACTGTTTTATATTTTAAAGATTATTTCTTGTACCTTTGTATTGTTTTTATTCGTGTATTTTAAATGCTGTTAGTCTCCCAGAGTCCCTTTCAGGGGAGAGGGAGCAGGATATAAATTTGATAAATAATGATTTGTATTTGTTAAACGGCCGTAACAGGAAAACTTTGTCGTTATGAAGTTTACTCTGTCACCTGATGTTAATGATAACTTTTTTAAAAATGGTCTTGGTTACTATGTTCAGACATGAGTTATTGAGCGATGAGAAATTGAGAGTCAGCATGTACATGAGAATCAGACCGAAAGGAATTAACTTGGGTTTGGGGTGTGTGACTTGTGCTAATGTTTTCCTTGGTACATGATATGGGGATAAGTTTATTTTATTTTATTTTATTAAACTGGATTTCTATCCCGCTGTCCCCTATGTAGTCGGACTCAGTGTGGGTTACAACAGACAACTGTAAAACAGTTAAAAATTAAAACATAATTCTACAATGTTAAAACCTATCCAACAGATGACACAACTCACAAGATGGTGATCAGGCATAGTTAACAAGTGCACACAAAATACTATTTGTATGTGTGCTCGAGATGGGTAAGTGGGTAAAACCACCATCAATAGCACAACATAAATGGTGCAAGGCAGGGTGGAGCAGGGGACACCAGTGTAATTAGACACCTGCCACTTCAGCCAAAGGCCTGGTGGAATGCCCTGCAGAACTGTAGTAGGTCCCACGGGGCTCTGATCTCACTTGGGAGAGTTTTCCACCAGGTTGAAGCCAGAGTTGAAAAGGCTCTGGCTCTGGCTGAGACTAAGCGAATGTCTTTTGGGCCAGGGATCACCAGCAGATGTTGATCCAACCAGTGCAGAGCTCTTTGGGAAGCATATTGGGAGAGGCAGTCCTGCAGATATGTTGTTGCCTTCATAGGCACACTAAAAAAAAAATTCTTACACATAGCGTATGTATGAATTCAAGCTTTGACAATTGTAGATCCTTTGCAGCTCACTTTTTGTTTTGTTGGAATATTGAATACTTTTGGTTGTGGTCTAGTGTTTTGTTCTGCCTTTTGCTTTCTTCAAAATTCTAGCTCATTGTACACTATAAATCTAATACAAATTTTAATTGAAAATCAAACTAGCCATAAGAATAAGCATTTCTAGACCTTTTCAGAATCCGAAAGCTGATGAAATGAAATGTTCATCATATTTCTGGATTAGCCCACAGTATGAAATACTGGAGGTTGCACAAAAAAACCTGTTTTAGTTTTGTTTTCAGTCGAGGTTCAAAGAACTGTTCAACTGCAGAAAGTACCTGTGAAATGAACATTCGGTTTTTTTTCCAGCCCTGGTCCATCCATGAAGAAGAATTAACCTTTATGCTAGCCATGTGTTTCTTGGAGGAGTGTTGTGTGTGAAGGACTCCAGGGATGTTCTTTATAGCCTTTTGACTGTTACTAATTGACTCATGAAGAATGATTTGATCCAAATCCCACTGAAATCAGCATTGATGGGACTTTTCTGTCTAGCAACAAAAGTTGACAAGATGTTATTGTATGTTGGACCATTTCCTCTTGATAACAACAAGCCAGTTTCCAAAAAATCCAGACACATGATTAGTATGTCTCCTTTTGGGGAGCCAACAAAGGCGAATTGCCTGTTTACACTATTATTAGCTTCTTAAAATGTTTTTTTAATTCCCAGAGTCATTTGATAAACACTTATTTTGCTTTGAAAGATTGGCTAAGGGACATTGGTTTAATCTGAAGGAAATTACATGGAAGCAGTATATTTTGCTCAAGATATGAGATGTGATAAACACCTGATCAACTAAGGAATCAACTTTCCTTGAAAATATAAATACATAATTCCATTTCTGGGTTGTAATCAAGTTGTTATCATGCATGGTTGGGATGACATGGGTACTTTACATGTGTGTTTGTGTGAATGGGACCCACCTTTCAATCAGGTCCCAACTTCACACAAGAATACTCTCTCACTTGTAGGAGTGCTTAAATTTTCCACCTGGTTTAAGAGAATGTGCCTAATCTGGACATAGGAAAACATATACAACAATCAAGGGATACCTAACAAAAGAGTTTCAGGTGGGTAGCTGTGTTAGTGTGTAGCAGCAGAACAAAATTTGAGTCCAGTAATACCTTAGAGACCAACAAAAATTTCCAGGATCCAGAGCACTGCGATCAGGATCCCAAAACCGCCTGGACCTCCCTGGCCCTAAGGAAGTCAGGTTGATGGTAACCAGGACGAGGGCTTTTTCGTTTGTAGCTCCATCCTACTGGAACGAGCTCCCTGCTGAGATTAGGGCCCTGCGGGACCTGTCACAGTTCTGCAGAGCCGTGAAAACAGAACTTTTCAGGCAGGTGTTCCGATAGGAGCGACGTTTTACCAGAAGCGCCCTGTGGCGAACTCCAATCCTATACGAGCTAATGCGGCGGTACCGCCAAATGTGTCCCTAAATTGCACTTTAGTTTTATCGCCATCTAATGAATGTTTTATATTGACTGGTTATGTTTTAACTGATGTTTTATATTTTATTGTGAATGTATACTGCTTGTCAGTTCCTGGAAGCCGCCCTGAGCCTGCCTAGCGGGGAGGGCGGGGGGTAAAAGTGAAATAAATAAATAAGTAAATAAATAAATAAATTCCAAGGGTCAAAGCTCAGCTTGTCAGATACCTTTTTGACAAAGGTATCTCCTTTGTCTCCTTATGCAAGTCTGAAAGGCATACTAAGACCTTGAACATGGTACAATCAGACATAGCTTTGTTGAGGTGAAGAATTATCATACCTAAGCAGTCACAATAATAGCAGGCATATAACATGCAATACCAAAT